AAGGAGAGTTCAGGGGGGTAGTAATATTTCTTTTTTGTTTTTCTTAAGTTTATTTTCAGGAAGAGAGAGAGACACCCTGATAGGGCTCCCATGTCACAATCCTCCTTGAATCCTGCCGCCAGCCAGGATCATGGGTTTAGGAAGACCTGGGATATAAACTTGGAAACTTCCCCTGGGGTTGTCAGCATCACACAGCAGCATCCCTACGGCCTGTGCCAGTGCAGCTGGGCCAGGACTGTCTGTTTGGACATTCTGAAAATTATGAGCCAAGCAGAAAGAGCCAGTAGAGAGAGGAAGTGTTTGATGATACAAAGGAGGGAGTATGACTGATGGCTTGATATTTAAAGTTGGAGATTCATCTGGTCAGGAACCAGATGTTCTATCCCGGTTCTTTGGGGAAATTAGGTATGTACTTGTCTTTTTATCCTGCGGCACTTTTCCTGGGAATATAACCTCTCTAAGTTCTAGACATGCCTGTGTACTTATGTGTCTTAGAGGACAGTGGAGGCAGTAGCAGACCCATATATACACTTATGTGAAGAAACAACTGTATGATACATAATTAAAATGATTGCTTGTTAATCATCCCAATTTTTGTGTTCCCAGATTTTTGCCGCAATAAGTAACCTAAGTTTTAGCTTGTACTTTGTAAGGTACCACACCTTAACAAAGCTCTGTTTTCTGCGATTTACTTCAGTGTCCTTTTTATAAACAGCAGAATGAGGCCCTGTAAGCTTCTTTTGTAAGAAGTTTATTTCTAAACATTGGTGCCTTTGGCATTGATTCTTCCTGAAAAATGTGATATCCCAGGGAAATTCAGAATGATTTTTGAATTTAATGTAAAATTTTAGATGTTTAAACCACTTACCTCTTTAGCATATGGTTTTATCCATATAACAGATCTTAACAGAATTATCTGTTTATGAGATATGATCTAAGGAAACTCAGTTACAGAGAAGGGAAGAGGTTTAAAGGTATTTGTCTGAGGTCATGTAAGTAGCTGATGATTGAACCAGAACAACGGTTTCAGCTCCCTGACTTTTTACCTTGCATTTCCTCACCTTTAATGTGTGTTGCCTGTAGAAGGAAAGGGAATGTCTCCCATTACTAAATCAAACACATTAAACCATGATTTAAGAGAATTGCTAAGCCAATAAAGGTATTACTGATTTCCAGGTGATTCAGAAATAATTTCTTCTTGTATCGAAACTAATTATGAGTTTATAACTCAAAGTATGCTCAGGGTCTAGAGGTATAAAGTGTCACCATGGGCTTCAGACAGCAAATGATTCCCATTCTTGGGTCTGCAATCTAGTAACTTGGCCTTGCAGTTCCTTATTTCTTCTTTTGTAATTTCTTTCCCCCAAATGTGGCATGTGGGGAAATACCCTGAAAATTATCCTAATGAAATACATCAAATAATAGGTTTCATTAGTTTACAGAGCCTTAAAAACTATTTCTCAAGGACTTCAAAGTCTCCTACTGAAAAGCCACTAAAAGGATAGTTTAATTTTGTTTTATTTTCCCAGTTTGGAAATAAGCATTATCATTATTAAATATGCATATTCAATCTTGCATAAACTGAATGTCAGAAAACTGACATATGAACAGATAAATATATTGAGAGATCCTTGCAATCACTCTCCTCTTCTTATTCTCCAGGTTGTAGAACAAGAAAAAACACACATCTATTTTCAATATTTTGTTAAGGTTGCCTGAGGCAACTTTATATATGTGCATTTATGCTGCACTGCAAAAACAAAAGAGAAATATGAGAATGTGAAGACATGTTTCCTGTTAATTTCTATCAGACCCTCTTAGAGCGTTTATAACATTATAGGTTAGATATAATTGATAACAGTCTACCGTTTTCCCTTTCTATCCTCTTTTTTCTCTTCATATCCAGATTGCTTTCTAATTTGAGGGAGGTAAAGGAAAATGAAGAATCATTTCGGTGAGATAAATGCTTGTAAATGTAGCATGATTAGATGTGTAGCAAATCACTAAATAGGAACTCAATTTGGCACCAGAGTCAATCTTAAGAGATTAACATTGGAGGCCAGCTGGTGGGGTGGTGGTAAAGGTGACTGCATCCCACATGACCCACTGTGCAATTAAAATCCTGGACCTGGTAGCTTGAGACACTGGTCATGTGTGCATGTGTACCCAAAATCCCAAAAGGAGGGAGAAATGGAGGAGAAGGGACTGCATATGATCATCCTTCATAGGGGATGTGAGAAGGAAAGTGAAAAAAAAAATATATATCACAATAACATATTTATATGTACCATATATGATATAAAACTCAATAACATATTTATATGTACCATATATGATATAAAACATATCATATATAAATGTTATAAGATAAGACATATATATACACACACAGCCTATATCTCCTATATATATATATTTTTTTTTTTTCTTGCCAGAGGGAGGAAGTGCTAGAGAGATGGAGAGGGAGAAAGCACCGCCATGGGGCATAGTCATGCCACAATCTCTTCTCCTCCATTTCTCCATCCTGTCAGGATTTGGGGCAAGCAAACACAAACTACTGGCATGTTTTTCAAGCTGTCAGGTTGGGGTTTGAACCATGGTCAGTTATGTGGGATTGACTCCCTTAACTAATAGGTTTTAGGGCCAACCTGGATATCTTTTCTTATCCCCTCAAGACAAAATGGCAGTTATGTACAGACACATGGTGGACTACGGAGCTGGTGACTTGCCTTCATCTTCTCCTATTCAGACATGGCACAGTCTAGGGTCTCTGAGATTTGGGAGTGATATTTAATTTATGTTCATATTGTTGTAGAAAGTGATTCATGAACACAGGTGGTATTTTCATAGAAACATGGAAATATTAGGTTTATAAATCGAGTTTGACCTAACACTAAAAGGCTATTATTTGCTAAAAGTATACATGTTTCTAATGATTTTCTATTGACTTGGCAATATAGAATTAGACAGTAAATTACTAAGCTATTAGATTTTAACTTTATGCTATTTGTTGGCATGTTGCTGACTAATACATGACTTACACTTTTTCATGTTGCTGCTATCATCTTTGAAGCACCTGATCTTGTGTTTCTCCTTAGGTTCACTACTCAATAACAACAGTGTGGGCATTCACAAACAACAGTTTTCAGCAGGTTCATGGACCTTGGATGATGCTTTTTTAGAACAGGAGATACACATTTGTGCTAAGATCAAAATACTCTAGGCTCAGGGTCTAACCTTTATTTATGCTCCTGATGTTGGAAAATATATTAGGAAATAAATCATATGATGATCCAAGAAAAGCCATAGGCATTAAATAAAATGTCAGTGAATTCAGAAAACAAATTAGGAAGCAATTCATTGCATTAGAGAGACAAGATGGAGAAAAATTTGAAACCCCAAGGGAAGAAGACAGTCTAGTCAATGAGTAGGAGCATAATCTCCAGACTCATAATAGAAAAAGTTCACTTTTGTAAGAAATATCTTATTTGATCAAAATGAAGGAATGAAAGAACTCACTTTTGGTTTTAATCAATATTAAGTAATAGTGAGTAAATTACCAGAATGGTTGTAACACATAGACTCTGAGTTTCTTTCTCTCCTGGATGCTATCAGATAAAAGATCATCTCATTTAATATCTAATGGGAGGTGATTTAATGTTATCAATCTGCTGCTTACATTTTCTTTCATTAAAATAACTCAGAATGAAGAGTGAAGAAATTAAATTACTACCTCATGCAGTGGTAAAAAGGAAGAGAAAGAAACATGTAAAATGTGTCTTATTAACTAAAATGTTGTGTTTCCTAGCTATATTTTTTTTATCTGAAGAATCCTGCTTAACAGTCAATAAATCTTACCTATGGTCTTTGCTAAGCTTAAAACAATATACGGACAAATGCAAAACATAATTTTATTTACCCAGTTATTTTCTGCACATGTAAATGCTTAGTATAAAAATGTTCAGGCCTTCACAATATTTTTCATTCAAAAACAAATCCAAACTCACTTGCCTTTTTGTAAAAAACAATGGGAACTTCTCTAAGCAGAGAGTCCAAAATGAAACCACTATTTTTGAATCCCCTTTCATTTCTCTTCTCTGTGTCTTTTATAAAGGCAAAACTTATCAGCAATAGAGATATCACGCTAAAAAAATTAAATTATACTTAAAAAAATTAAAGTACAGTTTTTGGCTGTGATGGGCACCCAGTTTTTCCTTTGTAGGAAACTTTAAGAAAAATTTCTTGTTTAAGATCTCAGCTCTTCTGACATTAAAAAAAATCCAAAAAGGTGAAGGCTACTAGGCTTCAACAGTATGCCTCTCTCATCATATGTTAGACATGATAACCTCGAAGGAAGCTCTGTTTTCAAAGGTGCAACTCCACCAGCCTTCACACTTCATAGAGTAGAACTTGGAGTGAATGAACATCTTGAAAATCTTTTTCTATCAATGCAGTAGGATGTATATATATATATATATATACACATATACATATATATATGTGTATATATATATATACATGTATATATATATATGTGTGTGTGTGTGTATGTGTGTGTGTGTGTATTATATTTCATATAATATTGAAAAAGCAAGGAGAAAGATGTTAGATTTATGTTTTATGGCCACACTGTGAATGTTTTTATTTTATGGATAGTATAACTCAACATGAAACCAGTCCATGCGGTGGCATTGTAGGCATTCATTGGTAAGTTAGTAATGTCGACTTGCTAGATCGACTGCATGTCAATCTACTATATATGGATTCGCTTCTGCATTTCAGGCATTTAAGAGTGAGAAGAACCCATCGGTGCAGTTCTCAGGACAGCTGACTAGAAATATAGGTGTCATTGGAATGCAGTGCTGAAAGTCATTCTGTTGTGCTCTCTGTGTAGAAAGGTTTACTGTTGGCAAAGATGAAAAGCATCACAGATGACATCTTCCAAAAGCTGTACCTTGTTTCAGGTAGTCCGTTAAAAGTCTAGTGATATAAAACCATTGCTAGGAAACTGGTTTCATTATACTGTCCCCAAGGGTTATTTTGTTCAAAACCCCAAGTTTAAGTGAAGAGGAGTCATCTGTCCACACAATGGATGTAGATAAACTCTTTTTTTTAATTTTGAAAATTGATTTCCTCCGATGTTTGTGCAGTAGCTGTTTCAGCTGGTCCTTAAAGAAGCTGGTTGTGAGAGTATAGAGGATGGGATTCAAGGCACTGTTTACGGGAAGGAAAAAAATCACTATCCAGGAAGTGATTGTGCCTGCAGAAGGAAACAAAGTATGAAAACAAACAGATAAACAAAATAAAAGCTGAAATTTTAAATAGACATAAAATACAAATAATACTTTGTAGTTCATGCTATTTCTGAACTACCCCAGCATATTTAAGTTTCCTCTCTCTTTTTTGAAAATCTCTTTGTTGGAAGAGCACAGGAGTTATGAATCCAAGGTCTTACCATTTAACTTTTCTTTTTTTTTTGGAGAGGTTTTCGCTATAGGGCGCGGGCGCATGCCAGACAGACAGAGAGAGACATAGAGACAGAAAGTGAGAAATCAATTCCCAGAGGGGATGGTCATGCAGCAATCCCTTTTCTTCCATTCTCCTCTCGGGATCTTGGGCACACATGCACATGCGCCTGGCATGAATTTTAAGCCACTGGCTCCGGGACGTGAACTGTGGCCGACTACGTGGGAGTCCAGTGACATAGCCATTACGCTAACTGCTGGTTCCCACCATTTAACTTCTCTGATTTTTACTAATTAATTAACAAGTTGTTGTGAGACCGAATGAGAAGGAATATGTGAAGATACTTTGTAAAGTATAAATCACTATCTGATACATTTTTCTTACCTTCCTTTTTAGAAAAATAAGAAAATGAGGAAATAATTCTTAATCAATAGAACAAGGTGTGAGACATTTCTGGTGCAGGAACCAGATCTGACCTTGGTTTTAACTCCATGTAGTCCTCAAAGCTCACTGCCCTGCCTGGTGTTCCCATTATTCTATTATCCTATTACCAAAGTCAGAAGATTTATGAAGCAAAGAGGAAAGCATCTCTTAAACTTGAATTCCTTTTGTGTGCATAGTCTTACCAATGCTAATAGAATATTTAGGAAAAGAGGTTACAAAAATTCTTCATGGGGAATAATTGGGAATGATGATGTCCTTCCTGTCCTTCCTGAGAGTATTACATGCTTGGTTAAAATGAAATATAATTCCCCCCTTTAGGCACAGCCCATTTCTGTAGTCAGACACTTAGGTGTATGACTACGGGCAAGATGTTCCCTGCCTCACTTGTCCTGTCTGTAACAACAAGGGGATGAGATAACTGGGTTAAATTCACGGGCAGGATGGGTTTGTTCTGTAGTCATCCCTCTTCTTCTTCTTCTTCTTTTTTTTTTTTTTTTGGAGAGGTTTTTGCTATAGGGCACATGTGCTCGCCAGAAAGACAGAGAGACAGAGAGACAGAAAGTGAGAAATCCCCCCCAACCCCATTGATTGATGCTGACTCTTCTCCCAAATTGGGTGAAGTTGTACAATAAGGCTAACGATATTTTCACTGTCCTTTGTCTCTCTCTTTTCCATCCCCACCCACATAATTTTCTTATCCTTCAAACACTATTATTTTGTTCCTCTCTTGATCCTGCTTCTTATGTTCTTTCTGTTTATGTGTGTGCCTTTCTTTTCCATTTCTTCTGTGACTGCTTATCTAACCATTTCTCCTGTGTCTCTTTCCTTTCCATTCCCTCCCACCTCCTTTTCCTCTTTCTCATCCCATCCTCTCTATATTGTCTTTTAAAAAAATTGGAAAGAATATGAAAGAAAAAAATATGCATTTTTAGCATTATATCCTTAAAGAAATTTTATATTAATTATTCTTAATTCAAAAAAATTAGATGATCTGAACTGCTAATGATTGAATAAAAATAAAGTTGCCTTGGGAACCAGCAGTTAGCGTAATGGCTATGTCGCTGGACTCCCACGTAGTCGACCGCGGTTCGTGTCCCGGACCCGGTGGCTTAAAACTCACGCCGGGCGCGTGTGCGTGCGTGCCCAAGATCCCGAGAGGAGAATGGAGGAGAAGGGATTGCGGCGTGACCATCCCCCCTGGGGGGTGATTTCTCGCTTTCTGTCTCTATGTCTCTCTCTGTCTGTCTGGCGAGCGCACACGCCCTACAGTGAAAATCTCTCAAAAAAAAAAGTAATAAAGTTGCCTTTTGTCTATCATGCCTCCAAAGGGAATTTCAATCAGTAATCCCACTTCTACCTCATAAAAAGCCAATGCCTGATAGTCTCTGCTTTCAGTTAAACAAAAACAAATTGGCTGATAAATTTCATATGTAAGTTCTACTCTGAATGGGACTTCCTGTTTAGCCTCGGGGAGATCCTCTAATTTAATATTAGCAAGCAACTGAATTCTGAGGTGGGGATCTAAAGGTGACTTATGTTTTGGGCTGACCCAGGTATTATCATAGATATGCCATGAACAGTAAGTAGACTTTAAAGTTCTTGGAGGATAGGGATAGGGGAAGTAGGTTAGTGAAGACAACATTTTCTACAGTACAATGGGAAGTTGGACAAGTAAGAAGGGCTTTGCCAAGTGTGACAAAGACTTCTCTCCTAGGCCCACTGAAGTGTTCAAGACAAATATCAAAGTATTGAACTAGAAATGTAAGAAAAGACTAGTGTGTGGCCTGATAATGTTACCACAGGACGTTTTTCCTGCTTTAGTTCTCCTCATTGAAGTAGTTTTCAAACTTATCCTTATCTGAAGTGCCCTAGGCTCTCAGAGGATGATGATTACTCCTGGTGCTCAGATACCCTTGATCACTAGAAAGCTCCCAATTCTAACTCAGAGAGTGTTATGATAAGCTGAAAGGTGTTCCACAAAATTCATGTAGTCAGAAGGTGACTATATTTGGAGATAGAACCTTTAAAGAGATGATTAAATAAAGTGAGCTCATTAAGTGGGCTCTATTTCAGTTTAACTGGTGTTTTAATAAGAAAAGGAAAGTTGGACACATGAGGAATACCAAGGATGTGCACACCGAGGAAAAGCCATATGAAGACACAGTAAAAAGGGCTTCTCTTTAAAAGTGAGATAGGCCTCTGGAAAAACCAAGTGCTGACCCTTTGATCTTGGACTTCTAGCTTCCAGAACTATGAGAAAATAATTTTCTGTGGTACATTTTTACAGCAGCGGTAGCATATGAACACAGAGGCAAACAACAACAAAAACAAAACAAAACAAAACAAAACAAAACACCTCAAGGAGTTCACAGACTCACAGAATATTAAAACTGGAAGGAATCTGAAAGACCACCTAGTTGATTTTGGTGAAGTGAGGTGACCTCCCCAAGCTCCCTCAAAAGTGGCAAAGTGATTATGGAAACCCAGGACTTCTGCCACACTTGATCTTTTTTTTTCTTTCTTTCTTTTCTTTTTTTTTTTTTTTTTTTTTTTTTTTTTTTTTTTTTTTTTTTTAATATGAGGCTCTCTGCATATCTGAGAGAAGTGAGTGCCTGTTGTGAGAAAGGATGCCAAAAGGTGTGTAGGCAGGAGTGGGGCAGGTAGACAAGACAAATCCCACCCATGCCACCACTCTTGGGACCAGCTCAATTTCTTTGGTTGAAAATGCATTTAGTCAGCCATGGTGGCACAGTGGTAATGCAATGCTCCACTGAGGCCATAGGAGAAGGTGCTAGGTTTGCCTCGTCAGTGCTCCCTGTGTATGGCAAGTGTACGTACATGCACGTGCCTGTGATCCTCTCTGGCTGAGGCTAGTGGGTGGGGTGGGGGGAGGACTGGATCATGGCATAAAAACCCTATTGAGGGTCCCTCTCTCTCTCTCTCTCATGGAAGAAAGAAATAATTTTTTTTTTTAAAAAAGGAAAAACATGAATCAATTACATTGATGAATTGAATAACATTACATGAATAGCATAGTGAAAAATGCAAAGATAAATAAGACGTGGTCCCCATTCTCCTGAAACATAACCTGAAGAGGCCAATGGACATTTTCAGAAATAAGGCTATTGTGAGGCAGCTCAAATAAGACTAATAAGTGAAGTTCAAAAAAGAAAATATCATAAACCTGTAAGCAACTGGGTTGGATGGAAGTAAAAGTAGGGAGAGGTCTGGAATGGCACTGTGGGAGTGGGAGTGTTTGAGTTGATCCTAGAAGTATGAAGAGTGTTCAGCAAGATAGAACCTGATAGGGTAAAAGTGTGATGCAGGTGGACGGAATAGATTTAGCAATGACTGATATTTTAGTAGAAAATCACAGGAAAAAAAAAAAAAGCCCAATCTTTCCAATGGGTCTAGATCACAGAATGTATGAGGATGAGGTAGGAAATAAGAAATATTACAATTCTAATCCCAGTGTCTGACTTTATTACATGAGCAATGGAGGCCAATGAACATTTAGTCCTGTTGAATATGAAGTGTTAGGATGTAAAAATTGAGATGTCCAGAGTAATAGGTAATAGACTGGAGACTATTCAAGTGAACATCTGTGACCATTAAAATTTCATTATCTCCGCTCTTCATGGAGAACTGACCCTCCCTGAGTGAACTCACTTAAGTTCTCATTACATGCACGTGCCTGTGATCCTCTCTGGCTGAGGCTAGTGGGTGGGGTGGGGGGAGGACTGGATCATGGCATAAAAACCCTATTGAGGGTCCCTCTCTCTCTCTCTCTCTCATGGAAGAAAGAAATAATTTTTTTTTTAAAAAAGGAAAAACATGAATCAATTACATTGATGAATTGAATAACATTACATGAATAGCATAGTGAAAAATGCAAAGATAAATAAGACGTGGTCCCCATTCTCCTGAAACATAACCTGAAGAGGCCAATGGACATTTTCAGAAATAAGGCTATTGTGAGGCAGCTCAAATAAGACTAATAAGTGAAGTTCAAAAAAGAAAATATCATAAACCTGTAAGCAACTGGGTTGGATGGAAGTAAAAGTAGGGAGAGGTCTGGAATGGCACTGTGGGAGTGGGAGTGTTTGAGTTGATCCTAGAAGTATGAAGAGTGTTCAGCAAGATAGAACCTGATAGGGTAAAAGTGTGATGCAGGTGGACGGAATAGATTTAGCAATGACTGATATTTTAGTAGAAAATCACAGGAAAAAAAAAAAAAGCCCAATCTTTCCAATGGGTCTAGATCACAGAATGTATGAGGATGAGGTAGGAAATAAGAAATATTACAATTCTAATCCCAGTGTCTGACTTTATTACATGAGCAATGGAGGCCAATGAACATTTAGTCCTGTTGAATATGAAGTGTTAGGATGTAAAAATTGAGATGTCCAGAGTAATAGGTAATAGACTGGAGACTATTCAAGTGAACATCTGTGACCATTAAAATTTCATTATCTCCGCTCTTCATGGAGAACTGACCCTCCCTGAGTGAACTCACTTAAGTTCTCATGGCTTCTGCTCTCCCCACCCAGCAAAGACTCCCAAGTATTCAGCCTTGATACTGACTTTCATGTCCATATCTTACATGACTTGAGGGGCATCTATGCTTTGGTGTGGAGAAAGAGCTGACAGATTACGGAGCTGCTGTGGATGTTGTGTTATTTTGCAGAATGCATTTGACAAGGCCTCACAAGACTTTGTGCATAGGCCAGAAGGACACAAGTTGTTACACAAGTTGTTGGTCATTTGTGCACTTGACCTTCTTTTTTATATGGGCTTCTGATGTGTCAGGCACTGCTCGATGCCAGGGTGCCAAGAAGGATTAAGCACAATTTCTGTACTGGATAAACTTCCCATGTAGATCTAAAGGCTAAAATAGTGAATTGAAGATGTTCTTAAACTCTCTTCCAATGAGAATTGAGCCAAAGTTCTGGGTGGCTCTACAATTTTTGGAACCCAGAAAGGAAGTGTAGCCCCAACTAATGACAAATGATATTTCCTGGATGAAGTAGGGTTGAAGGGTTGCGGGTTTGGAATCTAGCCCTTAGGATGAGGCATTTCCCTAGAACATTTAGCACACCACAATCTGTGTGATATTTTATGGTTTGGACCATGGAATAGACTGCTGGTCCTAACCTGATATGTGTGCATCAGAATCATGGGGAAGGGAGCCTTTGGTGAAACACTCATATACATGCCTTACCCCTACAGACTAAATTCAGAAGCCTGAGTAACCTGGATATGTACATTTTGATTATTTATTTATTTAGTTCTTTTTAAAGAGAGACTTTTTGCTATAGGACACATGTGCTCCCAGGGGGCATGGCCATGCCACAATCTCTTCTCTTCCATTCTCCTCTCGGGATTTTGGGGAAGTATGCACATGTGTCCAGTGTGTTTTAGGCTTCTGGGTCTGGGACTTGAACCATGGTTGGCCATGTGAGAGTACAACGATGTAATCATCTGCTAGTCCCATGTATTTTGGCTTTTTAAAGTTAATTTTTTCCATGAGAGAAAGAGTCAAAGTGGCACTAGCAGTGAGGTTTCCATATCATAATCCATTCCAGCCCCAGCCAGCAAGGATCATAGGCACAGGGAGTCTTTGGGACATGAACTCAGGACTTTTCACATGGCTTTGGCATTGGTGAGTGTTGCATTACTGCTTGGACACAGTGACTATTCTGTTTTGATTTTATGTGTACTCCTGGTTAAGAAACACTATCTAGTTCAGGTACATACAAGACATTCAGACTTAGTTTCTCTCTAGTTCTTTCTTCTTTTTTCTTTCTTTCTTTCTTTCTTTCTTTCTTTCTTTCTTTCTTTCTTTCTTTCTTTCTTTCTTTCTTTCTTTCTTTCTTTTTTTTTTAAATTATTTCGGGTGAGATTGTACCACTACTGAGTTTCTACTTTAAAGTACAGATTATAAAACACTAGGGAAAATACTAACTCGTTGTATTGGCATCCTGGATATTTACAGAAAATTTACCACGTGTAAGATACAATCCTGGATTCTGGGTTTATCAAACAGCAACCATGGCACAACATACTTCAGAATAGTAGAGGGGCTGACCTGGTATTTCCACTCTGAAGAGGGAAAGGATTTTAACTACAAATACAGGAATCCAGCAGATGGCATCAGAGAACACTATAAAAAAGAACCGATTTGCCACAGCCACTTCTCTTCCAACGTGATTCCTCACTTCAGCAGTGCGCAAGGCGGTTTTTTGGATTGAACAGAACATCGTAATATAGGAAAAAACAATGATGAGAAAAGCCAGCAAGTTTACACCTGTTGGAAAAAGCACACTGCTTAGTATCTCAGGTACATAAGTCAACAGTAAAAAAGAATGTGGCACTTAGATATTAAATAGGGTGTCTTTTACTCAGGAACTCTCAAGAAGTGTTCTTTTGTATAAGCCCAGTGGTGTTCAACTAAAGCATCAAATTCAAGGAAATAAAATAAAGGAAAGGGATTTGCCAGATTAAAAAAAATTAAGTACATAAATCCTTTATGAATAACTATAGACTTTGAAAATTCAAATCTAGGTATACCATGAAGTGAACTCTAGCTTGTTTTAAAGTATGAAAAAGCTATTTTGTTTTTAGTCCTCTACAAATTCAAACCTTAAGGGATTACTATAATCATATGCACATTTTAGAAAATAAATACAACCCCATTTCCTTATTTTATAAATATGAATAAGGTAACCTTGGAATTTATCATAAACATAATTACCTCAGAAACATTATTCCTCATATTTTTGCTCTTAAATAAAAATAATAAATAGAGCAAAAAAATACATTTTTCTTTATTGTTCTGCAGTTTGTTTATGGTAATTTAAACTACTATAATTCAGAACCCTTTAGATGCAGATAAAGAAAAAGAAATAAAATGTTAAAATTTAACTATGTGAATCATTCTTTGAGGGCCAAGTACATTCATAAGATTCATACATGACATCACTGTCCCCTATAATGTTGGCTTCTTAGTCACTTAGTTTGCTTTACCCTTGCTGTAATAAAAATCTTAAGAGTAAGTCTCATTCCTCATAGTGAACATAAAATTGCATATATTTTCAAAGTTGTTTAGATGTGTTAATCTGAATCTAGGCTGTATGTAAGACTGGTTAAGTCTAGGAAACAAATATTTTCAATTCAAGATGATCTGTTATTTTTATCCAAAGCATTTCATATTCCATTGCATCCTGCTAAAAGGGTATGCAGTAGAATTTTATAAGCAAGCTTGTCTTAGGCCTCTTTTCAGAAACTTTATTGAAGCATAAAATGAAATGACTCTGTTATCATATTTTCTTCTGGTCCAAGTTCTGAAAACAAATTTATAGAAAGGATCAAAAAATGTATATTCTAAATGCACTGCAGTAGTGTAAGATGTTAACCAAAAGGGAATCTACTATCCTTGCAAATTTTCTCTAGATCTAAAACTCTTCTAAAGTAAAAACATTAGAGTGAAGGAGAGGGTACAGCAGTATGGACATCCACCTTGCAGGTGATCTCTCATTTTCCCTCTCACTGTCTCTCTCTTGCAAGCACATATCTCCTATAGTACAACGCTTAAAAAAGAAAAAAGATTACAGAACGTGGGCTAACCCTGGCATGATGGTTAAAGTAGCTGGATCCTCAAGACCAGCAGTTGGCGTAATGGCTATGTCGCTGGACTTCCATGTAGTTGACCGTGGTTCAAGTTGCAGACCTGGTGGCTTAAACTCACACCAGGTGCATATATGTGTGTGTGCCTAAGATCCTGAGAGGAGAATAGAGGAGAAGAGATTGTGGTGTGGCCCTTCCCCCTGCAGGGGGGGTGGGGGCGGCGATTTATCGCTTTCTGTCTCTGTCTTTTTGGTGAGCACACGCCCTATAGCAAAAAAAAAAAAAAAAAAAAAAAAAAAAAGTAGTTGGATCCCACATGGCTGACTGCACAGTTCAAGACCTGGACCCAATGGCTTCAAAGATGGAAAATTGTAAAATAAATAAATAATAGTGTATTTTTGTATTTTTCAAAGGAAAAAATCGTATTATATCTAGAGCTCTTGGACTCCTATCACATGCAAGCTGTGTGCGTACAGAGGGTGATGATGATGATGGAGTGTGTGTGTGTGTGTGTGTGTGTGCATGTGTGCGTGTCTACATTATTACCTCTTTATTAGGAAAATACCACAGGTGCTTAACCCCTTTCAGCTGACCTTCATGCCTACACTGTAAGATTCAGCCATACCAGACTTCCTTATCCCAGTCCTTGGCATTGGGGCTCTGAATTCACTATCTTTTCCTGGAACACAACCCAACCCCCACCCACCTCTGACTCTCTTGGGCAATGCTTCCTCATCCTTAGGGCGTTAGTTTGGGTACATCTCTACTGGGAAGCCTTCCCTGGTCCTCAGATCTGGGACTCCTTATTCATTTGTGTTGTAAGGATGCATTTACTTATCTGCCTCTTCCTGTCTGGTCTGTAAAGTCTGTGTGGGCTGAGTCTCCAGTTTCCACTATAGTGGAAAGCCCATAGTATATGCTAAATACTTCCTTGTTGGATAAATGAATGTAATGTAATGTGTGTGTATCAGGAAGGGTATCTATCAGTATTAAGTGTACCTATGCTAGGAGTTGCATGGAAATACAAAGAATAGCCCACAATATCTTGGCAGTAGTATACCTATGAACAAATAACTACCAAATAGAGTATTGTGTAAGAAACATTATTAAAATTGGGCAAATAAAGCACTGTGTTTTTCAGAGGTGAAAAAGAAGGAATAGTTGGAGAAGAACTGGGAATAATAGAGTCATTTCATGATGAACTTTAAGTGATTAATTTCAACTTGACCTTGATAGTAGTAAGGAGCCATTGAAAGTCTTTGAGCAGAAACTTAGGTAGTCTTTTTGATACTCAAGGGCATTATAATAATGGTAGTGAACAGACTATGGGAGGAAAGGAAAGTCTTGATAAGCCAAAAGACAAGTAAAAACTAAGGCAATATTAATAGGGTTAAAGTGCTATGGTTTTAAACAAAAGTGACAATAGGGGGTAGAAACTGGAGGGATCAGAAGACAGAGGCATATTTTGATTTAAAATGTTTGATCAATAAGAAAAGATAATAGAACTTGTTGACAATGTAGATGAGGGGAAACGATAGGAAGGGGGTGTCAAATTGATAATACTGTCCTAGTTGAAGTGAGGATGTGGGAATGGCCTTAATTTTAAGCGGGAATGAGATATATTAGAAAATAGAAAAAAAATTTTAACTTAAAAGACTAAACTTAGGTAACAGAGAAAGTAAGGTCTTTTTTTTTTTTCTAAAAAAAAAATCTGGGGTATTAAGAAAATTTTTTGAATAGGAAAGTTTTATTAAGCATCTTTATATCATTGATTTTAGAAGTTCATTTGTCAAAGGCAATACATCTTCCTGGTATTTCCATTCAGGTAGCATACTAGTGAGTGACTAGAATTTTTTTATTATTTAACTCATAACTAGGATGTTAAAAAAAGAGTTCACATAATTTGATAGGATTTCAGAACTAGGCACTAAACTAGAATTCCTTCAGCTCATAGCCACTGCATATGAACATGAAATCAGAGGATGTTATGGATAATGAAAGATCATGCAGAGATCTTGACAGCATATTTTGTTTTCCACCCAACCTCTATAATAAAAAAATTTATAAACATTTCTATAAATAAACGGCAAAACTTTTCTTTAAAAGTAACACTGTTTTGGCTTTATTAGTTTACCTTTTGAAAGGCCAAATTAACTTTTGCTGAAATTTCTTGTATTTCTATAAAAAATATGTTTTTCAAAGAAATTAAAAATATAATTTACCTAGGAAAATCCCAAGAGAATATCCTTGGCCTCCAATATCTTCTGTTTGGTCATAGTAAAGTGGAAAACATACTCCATTTTTCCCATAAAAATTTCCAAAATAATCCTCATCCCAAAATGGAATTACTGCTATCAGAAATCCTACTATCCAGATGCCAATGAGGATGACTGAGGTTTGCCGTTTTCCAGGACGAATGTTACTGAAGGGGAAGACGATGACCAGGAACTTCTCCACAGTCAGGTAGGTCAGCAGCAGGACAGAGACTTCAGTGGACAGCACAGCCAGAGACCCCATCAGGTGGCACTGTGTACTCTCCATCCACAGCAAGGCATACTTCTGATATTGCCCTCGGTACTTTATATCAAAAAAACCAACCAAGAACAGGTAAACGCCCATCAGGCAGTCAGCACCTGTGGAGGAAGCCCAGCAATTCTGTTTTGGTTTCTGATTAGGTATAGTTCCTTCAGTCTCTATTAAGCTAATTCGTGGAAACACCTGCTAAAGTACTAAGAAGCCAAGAGGCTTCAAAGTCTGCATAATTTCCCAAATTACACATTACATCTATTTTTTTTTTTTTTGCTATAGGGTGCATATGTTCTCCTGAGAGAGACAAAGAGAGGGAAAGTGAGAAATTACCCCCCAAGGGGGATGGCCATGCTTCAATTCCTTCTCTTCTATTTTCCTCCTGGGATTTTGGGCAAGCATGCACATGTCCTAGAGTATTTCTCAAGCCACCAGCTCCAGAACTCGAACTGTGGAGTCAGCCATGTGGGATCCAGTACCTTAATTGCCATGCCACCTTCTGGCCCCATCCTTTTTTTATATAGTTTAAACAATCAAAAGGGAATATTTTGAGAGGAGGGTTAGTTTTAAAATAGTAAATATGTATGTATTACTTGTATAGTTAATAAGGAGACTCAGGCCAGATGGTGGCACAGTACTGACACAATGCTCTGTGATGGTTGATCCGGTGGAACAGTCCCAAGTTTGTGTCTCTAGGCCTCCTGGTACATGTTGAACATGCAAGTGTGAGTGTGCTTGTGATCCAGGCTCGTGGAGGCTGGAGGTGGATTATGGCATAAAGACCCTGTTAGGGGTGCTTCTCTCTCTCTCATGAAAGAAACTTAATTAAAGGGAATTATTTTCTGGTCTTGAGGAGCATGGGTGTCCTTGCAACTGAAGTTAAGCAAGCTTAGTTTTGTAACCCACAAAACTTTCTCCATAATTCATAATTTGACCATCAGCTCCCTGTTATTCATTTCTAAGCCTAACTCCCAGAGATAGATCACTGTAAGATCATCCGATATAAAACAGGCCCACAGAGCACTTCATATTAGGAAAAAAAAATTATCCAGCACATATAGTACATGTTATATGTCATTTATTAAGAGCCAATATTTATACACATTTTTATATATCTAGCACCCAGCTCACAGAAGATATCCTAATCTATTTGCATTAGGAAGCATACTTACAACAAAGGATTTTGATGGACATAGCGTGAGTTGTATTTTCAGCTTTAATGAAAGATCTCATGCCAATGACAAAAAGATTTCCAAAGCAGGTAATGAAAGCTATAACCCAGACAAATATTCTGAGGATATTGTTAGCCAAGAGGTCCTCAAATGAAGAAATGCCGTCACTCAAGGGCAAACATATTCGGACATGGGGAGCATAGGAGCAGTATCGAAAGTTTTTGAAATAACTAAAGTCAAAGGGAAAAAAAGAGTCACTTTACAGTAATGATGCCAAAATTCTAGTTGCAACCCTGTCAAGACTGCAACTCTGTTAGATATGAAACTTTCCTAGGTTTATTTATTTTTATTTGTAGTCCTTATGTAATTAGAACATTCTTCATTAAGTAATGTGTTATTCTGGGCAATGTCCTTCTGTGAAAGACAGGGAAGCAAAAGGATGTAGAAATTCAGTAGCTTGGCTGTGGAATCGGTGAGTGACATGAGAATCTGAAGTCTCTGGAGCTTACTTTTTTATCTGGGTCGCTTGGATTGTTCTCTAGGGTATTATAAAAACTAGATTATCCTAGTTGAATTGATCTCAGCAAATATTAAGGGGCCTATATTTGGAATGTAAGAAACCCACTGTAGCTCACTAAAAACATTTCTGTCTTGTCCATAGATTGAAACTCATCTTAGCCTTGTTTTCTCTGATGGTAGGAAGGGAGTAGTCTCTGACAGAAGGAAAATTCCATTCTCACTGGAGCTGGGAGGAGAAGCAGCTGCTTCAAACACAGATTTCTTACTAGAGTCTGTAAGAGTTTAAGTAATTTCTAGAGGAAAACACAGGTTTGCTTTGGTCAATGTATTTATAATCTGGGTATGTGGAATCTTGAGGTATTGGAATGGGTGAGGTCATTTGGCTTATTACCTCTCATAAAATTCATTCCATTTCTATTCTTTTCTACTTCTTTCAGTTAATTTCCCTGCTCTTTTCTTTCTGTCTAGTAACATCTTCAAAGTCCATTTCTAGACCAGTGAGTTAAACAAGAGCTTTATTTTGCTAAACCTCCTGTACTGAACCTCTGGCTACCCTGAATCACCTTGTCTCCTCTTCATTGCATTTGCACACACTGGCTTCTTCCAGTTCTCAAACAAGCTAGGCTCAGTCCCTTCTCAGAGCTTTGCTTTTGGTGTTTCTTCTGTCTGGGAAGATTTTTCCCTGGGAAATTGCCAAATTGCTCCCTTCCATGTGACATTGGAGCAGATCTAAGCTCAAATGTCACATCACTCTGACTTCTATCTAAACCTTATCTAGGTTGCTTGGACCAACACAGCTTCTATACTTCAACCTTGCTTTATGTATTTTCATAGCATTTATTAACTATTTATTTATTTACTTGTTTGCTCTCTGATCACGAAGCTAAATAGAAGCCCTATGGGAAAGATAGTCTCTTGTATATCACAGTG